ATGATTTATGCACGCCAGCAACACCAAACAGTTGCTGTTGCCGGCGACCCACTTAAGCAGCTACACTAACTTTGCGGCTTATCACAAGTCGCCTGCTATCTATGGCCGATACGAAGGCTATCAGCACCGGCGACTTGTCGCAGTTAGTTAGCTGAAAACTTGCTGACCAAAAAGAGAAAAGAGAGAGAACAAAGTTGACAAGTTGTTGTTTTTATTGTTGCTGTTGCCATTGAACTTGAACTTTGTGTTGTGCTGTCTGCAAATTGCAAGCAATAAATTAAACATTGCAACAACAACAACAGCAACAGCAACAGCAACAGCAACAGCAACTCCCTTGCCAGCAACTTGCACAGCCAAATTAAAGTTGGCAACAATTGTTTGTTGTTGTTGAACTTGTTTAGCATATGGAGGGTGCCCTGCACAACTGACTTTCCATATGCCTGCCATTCACTCTCTCTCTCTCTCTCTCTCTCTCTCTCTTCCACTCTCTATGTGTCTCTCTCAGTCACCCTCTCCCTTTTTGGCTAACATTGCCCGTCGAGGCGTAACGCGTTTCTTTACGCTTCGTTGCCATCGTTGTGCTAATGAAGTGCTGCAACAACAACAACAGCAACAACTGCAGCAGCACCAGAAGCAGCTACAGCTGAAAGTGCAACTACAACTGCAACATTAGCAACAAACAACAATCGCAACATTGCATACAAAACCGCACAGTTTGGAAGCAACTTCATATAAATGTTGTTGAGCAGCAACAGTTGCTGAAAGAGGTCTCTCTTCGTTGCTGTTGATGCTGCTGCTGCTGCTGCTGCTGCTGCTGCTAATGCTGTTGTTCAGCTTAATTTGATGCCCTTCCGGTTGTAGTTTTTCATTGTCAATTGCGAACGTTTCTCTTGTCTCACAAATTATTTATAATTTTTTCGATTGCTTTAAACTTTCTAAGAGTGACCAGCGAGTCGAAAGGTTGCCAGATCGTTGTTGTACTTATGAGGTCGCCTTTAACTTGCCCCTTGAGCTTTAAACTCTCTGCCTTCATTTCACTGCTCCATATAGCTGACATAATAATCAAAATAATTAGTATGCGGGCCATTTCGTGGTGGAAAAAGGGAGATCCTGTTCCTAGCAGTAATGCTGCCAGACTAATTAAATTATGCTTTACGCTCTGCGATAAACGTGCCTCCAACCTCCAGCCCCACGTAACAATCAACAGCTCTGAATTGAAAAGCCACGTACTCGACTCCAAACAGCATCCTAGATAACCCTTCCATGAGCTCAAAAACTTTGCACATTTACTCAGCCGACTCACGTATGCGGGCGAAACATAAAAATTGATTACGGTGCGTATGCGTAATGCCACCAAGGACACGCTACAATGCCCCACAGGCCACAAACGAGACGCCTAACGGGATATATCACAGCTCTATAAGAGTATATATGCCTCTATAAGCATATCTGGCTGTGTGAGTTAAGCTCTCCACACTCCAATGGAATTTTATGGCATATCATTCTACAATAGCTGGCGATTCGTGCCGAATTTCGCTTTGTGCCTGGGCAAAAGCAATTAAAGTGAATTATCAAACAGTTTTTAAAAATGGATCGATAGCTGCGCAGGGAAGAGTCCGAGGCAAAGCAAACAGCAATAAAAACTATTAAGAATGAGCTCAGCTCGAGCGGTTTAGGCGCCGTCCTTGAACTCTGTAAACAAGCTGAGCTCGAGAAGTGGCCCAGAGCTCAGTTGGCTCTGGCTTCGGCTCTAGCTTTTCATTAACTGATTTATACTATATAAGAAGCTTTTTTTTGCGCCGTGCTTGAGCGTGTCGACTCGCCTCGATTTGCATAAGCGACACGCAAATTAAAATGTGAAACGTGTTAGATGCTTATCAATAAACGAAACATGGGCACGTAGCCGTTAAGGGGGCAGGCGGCGATGCGATACAGAAGTCGCTTTTGGTTAATAACTAACTGCGATAGCGTTTAGTCAGCTTCACTTGCGCTTCAACGTATTCCGATTTGCTCACAGAGTCAATTAACTAAGCGGGGCGTAGCTCTGTACAGATAGTTGAAAGGTTGGCTCAGACTCGATGATATCATGCAAGCAGCGTGGATTATGAATTTCCTATGAATTAGCCACATGCCAATGCTAATGTTGGTCAATTAACAGCCAGCTAAATTTGCACGCGAGAGCAGCTAGAAGAGATCTACGAACTTAGTCACAAATTGTTGATAGCTTCATAGGAACAGTTTTGTGCAAAGAAAAGATTCAGCTCAAGCTTTCTTGTTTTTATTGGAAAATCTATATAGAGAAGAACTGAAACTTGATCAACTCGCTGTCAAATTAAACGGCTCAAGTCTAAGGCTAACTTAGCTAAGGAAGTTTAAACCACTCAAGTGCCTCTCATTTACTCGCCTTTGTCTGGGTGAAACTTTCTTTTGTTTACTCTTCATAAATAATCTCTGCAGCGACAATCGAAGCTAATGCATAAAGACATTTAGCTTGTTTCCCTAACTCAATTACTTAATAAGTCGAAGGCTACAGATGCAGCCGGCTGTCATTAGTTGGCTTCATTATGCATTTCCCTCAGCTCATCCATTCAGTGATTCATTTGCTCGCTCCCTCGGTAGCTATTGATGCCACTCCAGCATTAGCTGCTGTTGTCTCCTCCTGCCGTCTCCTCCCGCTGTCTGCTTTTGCTCTTTTCTCCCTTTTATCGTCTACCCTTCGACGGCAAATCGCAATTACAACTTCCGCGCTGAGTCATTTCATACAAACACTTTATACTCTGCTTAGAATGTGCAGAACGGGAATATCAGTTTAGCAAATGAATCGAGAGACTTTAATATAATATGATATATAGCACAGATCAAAGTTACCTCAAAAGTCTAAAAGTTTCCTTAAATTGCAAAGCACTGAAAGTATAACTGCAAGTATATTTTACTACTCTGCCCTTGAGAGAGAGAGAGAGAGAGAGAGAGAGAGAGTGAAAGAGGGAACTAAGCAGTCAGCTTTTGGTTTACTAATTTCTGACTTGCCTTTGCAGCACTATTAGAGCTCATTAGGTTGATGTCGTTAAGGTCTCATTGCTGCGCTTCTCTACTCGTTCTTCCCTCTTCACTCTTCACTCTTCACTCTGCACGCTGCACTTCTCTGAGCTTCTCTCTGCTTGAATTAATGTGCTCAAAGCTGTTGCTGCATTTCGCTGACAAAGTGACCTCGCCGCCAACGCCGAGAGCCGTGGAGAGCGCCTCGGTCACGTCGCATCATAAAAAATATTTCATGAACTTGTGGCCAGGCAACAAAGCAGCCAACTGAGTGAAGTACGAGGAGTTGGAGGAGCTGAGGAGCATTGCTTCTAATGCTAGTTTATGACACAGGTGTCTGTCGAGACGTTCAGCGGGGGTGGGCTGTGAAGGCGGCGCAGGAGAGAAGAAAGAAGAAGTTTTGAAAGAAGTTTTTAAAGCTGCGCTTAGAGGCTCAGACAGTAGGAGTCATGCAACATGAGTCATCCCTGTCCTCAGACATCAGTTGTTGCTATTGCTGTTGCTGTGGCTTTTGTTGCTGCGAAACCACTTGCATATCAATCAGGGCTTAAAATGCGATGCACGATTGTGACGTGCGGGCTGCATAGTTGCAGTGCTAAGGGACCCGGGACGGGGCCACTCAATTGCGATGATGAATTATCGATGCAACAAGCACTCAATGTCCCGCAAGCCCAACTACCAGCCCAACCACTTGCCACACGGCCAAACAAATTTTGGCTACAAGCTAACTGAACTTTGGCAATAAATATAATTTGTGCAGTCCTTGTCAGAGTTGTCTGGCTGTCTGAGTCGCCCAATAATTTGGCAGAGCTGAGTCTAATAATATAAATATATTGTTACTATAAATTGCAGGCAATCATTGTCTCTATTCCCATATTCTCTACCTTTGCCTGAGTTGATTGAGTTGATTGAGTGCTAAGACCATCGCCATTCGAGTCACTCACGATTGGGGCTTGACATCAGTCTATATCAAATCCAAGGCGAATGCGTTGAACGTACAAATAATTAAATCAATGATCATCAAACACTTAGCAGTCCAGCTCTGTCTCATTCGCAGTTGTTTTGCTGATGCCTTCAACTGTAACCAGTTGCACATTGCGCAAAGTCAACTTAAATCCATTAACTGGCAGCTGTATTAATCATTCATTAATTATTAATTTGTTGAGCGTACTAAATAATCCAGCCTCATATAAAAGTGATGTGCCCAGGTCTAATCTGAAAGCCTACTCTGACTATAATAATTACTTGTAGTGTAATAAGAGATTTCAAATAACTAAATATTAATTAGAATAATAAATTAACATTCATATTAAAATATTTCACAATATTATTATAAATGATGATGTCATATTAAATCATCCAGTTATGTAATTGCAACTTAGCGCTGACAACAGAATTTAATGAAAAATTCAAGATATTCAAATCGATTTACAGATTTTGCTTCTATTAACTTTAAGAACATGTGTAGTTCAGGGTTTGATAAAGATGATAAAAATAGTAGGGCCTTTTTCTTTTCATTTATTAATTCATTAATTATTTATTTATTTATTTACTGATTTATATGTTTATTTATTTAAATAAAATAATTTAATGTTCAGCAAATAGTGTTCCTCTTAAATTTATGAACAGAAAATTTATATTTTCATTCGGTTTGCATTTTATATACTTAAAGCAACACATCCATATTGACCATATGCAAAATCGATCAATCTTACCCAAATCATCAGTCATAGTAATATGAGCTTGTTTAAATACCATTTGCCGTTTCAAAATTTCCATAATGATATAATTTTTCATAATGATTTTAATTTTAATAATGAACAAATTTCTAATTGAAGCCTAAATGGAATATTTTCTATTTTACCAGTATATTTGTCCATTCAGTAATTACCAACACAGATTAAATAATTGTAAGCAATTGAGAACATAAACTGAATGTATTCCTTCTCTCTTGTGTTCCTCAGGCCCATGTGGTGTCTGCGTTCGAGCAGTCGCTCACGAACATGACGAATCGGCTGCAGCAGCTGACGGCCACGGCGGAGCGCAAGGACGGAGAGCTGACGGATATGCGGCAGACGATTGAGCTGCTGCGCAAGCAGTCCATTCAGGCGGGCCTGACCACGGCGCACATGCAGAGCATGGGCGTGCAGACCCAGGGCCAGACCCAGAACGAGCTGATGCTGCAGCAGAAGCCGCCGCAGGCGCCCGCAGCGAATAGCCGCGGAGGCAATGCGAATGCAAATGGCAATGGAACTAGCAATGGCAATGGCCTAGGACTGGGATTGGGATCGGGATTGGGCATGCAGCGCCAACACAGCACCGACTCGATGTGCTCGCTGAACTCCATCAGCTCGGGCTGCTCGGCGGCGCAGGACAAGAACAAAGCCAACAAGAAGAAGGGCTGGCTGCGCAGCAGCTTCACCAAGGCTTTCTCCCGCAACGCCAAGATCTCGAAGACGAGTCGCCATGCGGGCCAGCACCATCAGCAGCACCAGCACGAGCACGGCTCCAGCAAGGCATCAGTGCTCAATGGGCACGGACACGGACACGGACATGGCCATGGCCATGGGGAGCCTTTGGGCTTGGCGGCCTTGGCCACGCAGCCGGCGCCGCCGCTGCCCGCGGCGAATGCATCCAGCAAGCAGAGCAGCCCGGCCAAGACGGTGACCCTGATCGACAATGCGAAGCCCATCGACGCCATCGACGGGGAGGAGCACCACGTGGTGGAGGATCTGAAGAAGCAGCTGCGCGAGAAGGACCTGGTGCTGACGGACATACGGCTCGAGGCGCTGAGCTCGGCCTCGCAGCTGGAGAGCCTCAAGGACATGATGAACAAGATGCGGGCGGAAATGATGTCGCTCAAGCAGAACAACGAGCGGCTCCAGAAGCTGGTCACCAGTCGCTCCCTCGCCGGCTCCGAGGCCAGCCTCGGCCAGGCAATCAGCCCGAACGGTTCGCTCGGAGGCGGTGCCGGCGGCTCGGACGCTTCGCGGCGCTACTCGCTGGCGGATGGCAATGCACGGCCTCCCATGGAGCTGCCGCCCCGTCTGAGCGAGGAGCTGGAGGAGGAGTGCATGCCACCAGCACCGGCCCCAGAGCCACCACCACCGCCAGCGCCCTGCGCCCCGAACGGCGCAGCGCCCCTGAGTCCGAATACTCACATCGACTTGACGCCACCGCCGCCAGCGCTGGAAGCTGGCCAGCTGAGCAGCCCGGTGCACATGGCCAGCTGTGGCGCCGTGGAGGAGCTGCCCGATGTGTGCGACGGCAAGAAGATAGCCATCGCCTGCTACCTGGGCCAGCCCGAGTCCTTTGCCAAGTACTGCGAGGAGATGCTGGAGCTGGACGACTTCTATGCCAACGGGGCCATCATTGCCAGCCACGAGGCGGAGCAGGCCCACGGCCAGGGCCAGGCGCAGGGGCCGGGGCAGCTGCAGCAGGGCGAGCGTCAGGGCAATGAGTTCGTCATCGCCTGCACCTACATCTCGGGCAAGACGACCTGGCAGAACCTGGACTACATTGTGCGCAAGACCTTCAAGGATTACGTGGCTCGCATCGATCCCGGCACCAATCTGGGCCTGAACACGGACTCCATTACATCGTACCATCTGGGCGAGGCGAAGCGCGGCCCCGAGATGGGCTTCCCGGAGCTCCTGCCCTGCGGCTACATCGTGGGCAACGTGAAGACCCTCTACATCTGCCTGCAGGGCGTCGGCAGCTTGGCCTTCGACAGTCTCATTCCACGCAGCATCGTGCATCGCTACATTAGTTTGCTCACCGAGCACCGACGCCTGATCCTGTGCGGCCCCAGCGGCACGGGCAAGTCCTATTTGGCGCGACGCCTGGCCGAGTTCCTGGTGGCACGGGCCGGCCGCGGCAATCCCTCAGAGGCCATTGCCACATTCAAGTGAGTAGTCCTCTCTAATTTTCCTCTGCAAGGCACATGCTAAACAACCTCTCTTTCTCTCTCTCTCTCTGATTAGCGTCGATCACAAGACCTCCAAGGATCTGCGACAATATCTGGGCCACATTGCCGAGCAGGCGGCCATAGCGAACGGTGCCTCGGAGCTGCCATCTGTGATCATATTGGACAACCTGCACCACGCCTCCGCCCTGGGCGATGTCTTCTCCTGTCTGCTCAGCGCCGGGCCGGCCACCAAGCTGCCCTGCATCATCGGCACCATGTCGCAGGCCACCTGCAACACGACCAATCTGCAACTCCATCACAATTTCCGCTGGGTAGGTCGAGCGTACATATTTCAATACTCTTTCACAAAGTGAAATGAGTCTATGCAGTTTCCGTCCGTGTGAATGCCAACTCGAAATTGGAGGCACGGGTATAAGAAAACAAGTCGGTTAGAGTTTTGACCCCAAATGAGTATTGTTCAGTCGGTGGGGCCCGACTGAAACGTTCTCAATTGTCCTGTCATCCACTCATTCAATCTCTTCCGTTTGACAGGTGCTCACAGCCAATCATATGGAGCCTGTCAAGGGTTTCCTGGGTCGCTTCTTGCGTCGTCGCCAGTTCCAGCTGGAGCTGCAGACGCAGCAGGCACAGCCTGAGCTAGCGGCGGTGCTCGCCTGGCTGCCTTCCGTTTGGCAGCACATCAATCGGTTCTTGGAGGTGCACAGCTCCAGTGACGTGACCATAGGACCACGGCTATTCCTCTCCTGCCCGCTGGACTTGAAGGACTCGCAGGTGTGGTTCACCGACATCTGGAACTACCATCTGTCGCCCTACCTGATCGAGGCGGTGCGCGAGGGCGTGCAACTCTATGGTCGAAGGGGCGGCGCCTGGAACGATCCGTCGGCCTTTATACGCAACTCATATCCCTGGCCCTACGGACCGGACTCGGTGCCCCCGCTGCGTCAGATCAATGCCGAGGATGTGGGCCTAGAGGGCGTGGCTCTCAGCAACGGCGAGCAACAGGATCCATTGGTAAGCGGCTCGGACTGTTGCTCCTCTTCAATATAGATTCCTAATTGCGCCTTTCTTTCAGCTGAACATGCTTATGCGCCTGCAGGAGGCGGCCAACTACTCGGAGACACAGGAGCAGGAATCCGACTGCGCCAGCCTGGACTCAAACGTGACGCCCGACAGCTCAGCGGGCGCCGAGTAGATCGACTCCACTCCACTCACAGATCGTAACTTCTAACATGCCAAATTAAATGTTTCACATTTTTTGCTTGCGCTGTAACTAAAAGTCCCTATCACAACCATCATCCACGCACACCACAAAGGAATATTCTTGTACTACTTTCGCGTACAAGTTCTAAAGCAGTTCCAAGAGTTTTCCATTTGCACCAAGCCAATAAACTGTTTATGTACACTCAGAGAAATGGGGACGAGCTAAGAGAAAACAATTGGTGCCAAGCCCCGCATCACTCACCGGGTTTCTCAGAGTGTATCATCATGGTATCCAACTCTTTCACTACCTCCCTCTAATCCCTCTCTCTTTCTCTCTCTCTCTCTATCTATCTATCTATCTTCAAGAACCACAAAATGTAGAATTGCACTTTTTAGCGCACTTGTTAAAAATGCAAGTTTCCCAAAATAAAAACAAAAAATAATAATTTAGAATTCTATAGCTCATTACACTAAATATTCATAAATAAATGGCATTTGTAAAACTCAGCGCAAGCGAAAAAAAAATGAAATACCAAAAGAAAACAACAAAACGGAAATCCCAACATAAAATGTTAAAGAATCGCTATGAAGAACTAAAACTCTTTTGTACATAGACAACCAAAAAACAGCCCCAACTATATTTAAGTGACAATTTCTACAATGGTATCACCATTTTATACCCTAACATAATTTGATATCGGAAAACGAAAGGAAGAACCTATTGTAAATGTAGCCCTAAGTTTTTGCTACTACCAATATTTACAAGATGTACATTTAATGGAAAAAGCTTTCACTTTAGTTTAATTATTTGCGTAATTATCATTAAATATTGTTACAAACATATTGCATATTTATAAAACGAAAAACAAAGTAAGAGAAGAAGAAGCAGGAGAAGATGAACTATTTAAACCATATTAATATGCCATATACAGCGCTTGGCCGCACCAGCATCATAAATGCGCTCATAAATGAAATCAAATACGTAATGACCCCAAAAAGATCCCCTAAACAAATAGCAAATTTAACAAGCACAACTCCTAATGAAACAACAATAATAAGAAAATACAGCAAGAACACTAACAGAACTAAAATACATTTATATATATCAAATAAAAATTATATGTCCAGTCTGTCTAATTTAAATGTGTACATTCATGAGATGTGAACTCAAATCAAAATCAAATAAACTATATAATAATAAACGATATTCATTTAATTGTTTTAATACGATACAACACTCGAGGAGAGTCGTCTCCAAACTGTATATGCTTTTAGCACCATCTATTGTTGAGGAGCCGAAGCTCAACACAGACATTTCAAATTTAAATAGCGCCACCTAGTGATTGTCTGCAGAATGGCATGTCACGAAATGTACATAAATACCCAAATGAACCAGTAGATTCAGTTTATTCCATACAATTCAAACATCACTTGCCAAACAAATTCAATTGTTACAATTTTTACATAATTTGAATATACTTGGAATCTGTTATTTTGTGTCACCCAAATAATGTACTTATATTACAAATATACATATGTGCTTAAGCACTTGAACACGATAGTTAAAGCCGATATATCGATATCTATTTGTGAGCTAATGAACTAGCCTCTTCGGTTCAATGGTAGTGACTAACTCATAAAAACCGATAACAGACTCTACTGGGAACAATCCGTGGCCGAAAACAGAATTGGTAATTTGTGATATAGTTTTTAAACTGAAAGGTTGCTATTGTGCATTTGCTTTTACCTTTTTGATTTCGTTGGTAAAATGTGATTAAGCTTTGACTGCCCTATACAACTACTGTTTAAATTGAAGCCTCGCTCTCCATTACAAATTCCGTGAAAAGTTTTAGATTACACAACAGCTACCACACGGCGAGCGCTAGCAAAAAAAGAAGAGTAAATTTTGCGCAGTAGGCTGCAAATGAATATAGCTGTTTCTTAAATTACTCCAGCTGCAGCAGGAGATGCAAATGTTTGCTAAACTATATGATTCGTTATGCACGTAGTCCGTGCTGCTGTTACATAACCTGTGATGCGTCACACCCGCACCCCCTTTAGATACTCACACTTAGCACAAGCAATCCTAACATGGCTCCCTCTGTCGTTGCAGCTCTGAACTATGGCTCTTAGACTAATCAACAGTGCTCTGCGCCGCCAGCTGGCCGCCCAGTTGCCACACAACGCCCAGGTGGGCAGCGTTGCCTCAGTTCACACTCTGGACAAGATCGGCAAGCGCGAGATTGTCGGCTTTGGCTGGAACGGCACAGCATGCTATGCGGATCGTGCCGATTACCCGATGCCCGCTGTGCGTTTCCGCGAGGCCAACAATGAAATCACCGCGCTGCGCACGAAGGAGCAGGGCGACTGGAAGAAGCTGAGCCCACAGGAGATCAAGGCTTTGTACCGTGCCAGCTTCTGCCAGACGATCGCTGAGGTCCAAGCTGGCACTGGCGAGTGGAAAATGCACCTGGGCGTTGGCCTGATCTTTACCGCCGCCGCCATCTGGATCGCCGTGCTGATGAATCTGTTCGGTAAGCATTGCATTTGCTGCTAGAGATCGTATGAGAAATCTATTCCCTTTTTGTAGTGTACGATGAACTACCCGTCACTTTCGATGAGGAGCACCAGAAGGCGCAATTGAAGCGCATGATCGACTTGGAGATAAACCCCGTCACCGGCCTATCCTCCAAGTGGGACTACGAGAACAACAAGTGGAAGAACTAAATGCAAACAATTCCAACTTAAAAGTAATTAAGCATAAAGTCAGGGGCGCTATGTATTTTTAAGCGGCCAGAAACAAAAAGAATAGTTGAAATTAAATAATGGCCGCTGCCAAACCTAAAAAAAGACAACGCAAACTTCATTTCCGTACGAGACAAACACCACAAGACAACTCTCCTGAAAGGCTCGAATTATATAAATGAATATAGATATAGGATACATAGCAGATGCTTTTATTTCCACATAAATTCAAGGGGTCCTTTTCAATTATGGTGTGTTAGTGTACTCAGAGGCAGGTCGATGCATATTGTGGGCTCGCACATGCCACGGTCGATCGCCGCTCACATACCTTTTCCTTGATGCATTACAGTGGAAATAGAAATGTCCAGCAACCAACAGCAGTAATATCTTTAGTAACAGCATTGCGGAGTTGGTAATGCCTAGTTGTCAGTTTACCAGTGCGCAGTATGAGCCGTCTTTTTAGCCATTAGCTTGTGGGCTTAGTTTGAATAGCAGTAGGCGCAAATAAACCGTTTATTAGCCGCCTAATTAATTCTATACAGTAATGTTCCATTCGTACTAACAAGCATGCAACATTTAGTTACGCGGATAAATTCGAACCCGCGTGAAGTTGACTGCGCTCCCATTAAGCTTTCGTTGGTTCACAAACCAAAAGCTGTTACTCAACAGTTGAGTGGCAGTGATACCACAGTGGCAAAATATCTTATTCTCTAGATGGCGCAGTAACAGTGCCCGAAGACATTCAGTTTGAACAAAAATAACAGAATTGGAAAAAGAGAGTAAAAAGTAAGGAGACCTGAATTACTGGCAATTTAATATGTGAAAATTGTGAGTTGTCAAGTGAACGCAAAACGTCCGGCCCTCTATTGCCATGTAGCAATAGGTTATGAATTGTTTCTGTAAATCGTGGGATATATTTCATTGAATATACATAATAGGAATTTGAAGTGGGTGAAAAGTGCAGGCGATGCGTCCAGTCTGGCCCTTTTAGCACTTGTTACGACAACGACTGTATCTTTATCCAATGCAAATCTTTCTTGACATTATGGAAGCCGTCGTGGGCGCGTAACACATAATGCTTCGCCTCGACTCTGACGAGTGCCAAGCAGGCAGACATTATTAAGAACAGTACCAGCGAACACATAATGAAATATATAAAAAGATACGTATGTATTTTTCAGCTTTCAGCTTTCACTTCGAGCACCCACACACAAGAACTGTACCGGATAACCACAGCTTGGCCTACCTTGATCCACCCCACTAATTGCATTTGTCTTGGCCTGGAGCGCCTAATCAACAATTGCACGCTGCCGGTTGAAAAATACAGGGTGTCTTTATTGAATGTAATTCGAGGTATTTAAATACTTGGCTCCGTTGTCTTCTTGCTCTTGAGAGCATTGTTCCAGTTAGCCCAATGACGCTCGCGCTTTACATTGTGGAAGCCATCGTGGGCATGTACATGCCGGATGCCTTGATTCTTACCACCCGGTAATGAAATTTGGTGGCCGCCATTCTCCACTATCTCCTCCTCGGAGGGCTTGTACGTGATCAAATCAATTAAATCCGTAGAAATATGATTGGGGACGCTTGTGGTGGTTGGTAATGTCTCGGATGCATTCTCTATGTTCGCCATAGTTGTTGTCTGTGGAATCTTTGCAACGGTTGATGATGCCTCGGATGTATTCTCTATGTTCTTTATAGTTGTTATCTCTGGATTTTTTGTGACGGTTTGTGATGCCTCAGATGTATTCTCTATGTTCTTTATAGTTGTTATCTCTAGATTTTTTGTGGAAGATTGTGACGCCTCAGATGTATTATCTATGTCCTTTTCCCCCTGTATCCTTTGCGGGAGTGCAATCAGCAGCAAGAGCAGCGACAGCTGTAAAGATCGAGCCCTATGTGAAGGCAACCTCTTCTGATTAAGCCGTACACTGGGTGCCGTCATCTTACCAGCTTGGTTTTGACCATGTCAATGATTCGCCTAGAAGGGTCGTCTGTGAAGAAATCGTACGCCAGAGAGCTTCGCCCTCTTTATAGTGGCGAATTGATAATTGATTCGCACAGTTTCCGGGTTTTATGGCCATAACTAATATTGAGCATGACTGTGCCCAACCTTTCCCCATTCAATAGCCTATAGAACGCTGCTAGGGCTGTTCCTAGTTCTCAGTTTCCGATTCTCGTTGCTCTAAAAAGAGAAATCTTTACATCTATATTAAATAATTACAGCTTTGTTCATCGACTACATTGTGCAGCTAGGTTTTTATTAATCAAATTCATAATAAACTAAATATTTTTTGAAAATACCATAAAGTCTTACCATCTAGTATCGTCATTGTTATTATTTTAAAATAATTATTAACAATATAATCAACATAGTCAATATAATATAATCTTTCAATTGCATTAATTTTTATTTCATTATTTGATTAATGTCATATGACTCTTAAATCAACAACTCAGATTTCTTGTAGTGCAGTGCCAATAATATTAATCATTTAAATATATACCTACCTCTGCTCAATGCACCTCTGGACTATATAAACACAGCACCAGCTCGTCTGTAACCAGCAGTCTGCGCTAAGCACTCGGTAAGAGATCATCTAAGATGCATTTGAAGCTTCTCCTGATCGCCCAGGTAGGTGAATATATTTAGGTGCTAATCGAGCTCGGTGATAAGGCTTCGTTTCGAGCAGCTATTGGCGATCGCCAACACCAAGGCTTGGGCTTTCGAGGACAATCAGACACTGGACGATGTGCAGCAGCCAGAGACGACAACAACGGCTGAAGAGAGTGCAACACCACTTGCGGCCGAGGGGCTGCAGAAGGCGAATGATGGTGAGACCCTGATCACCATGGAAACAGCCTTGCCGGACACGACAAATCCTACAACGACATTGACAACAGAGACTACCATTGCCGCTGACAAGGAAGAAAACTTGTCTCCTCCTCTTCCGTATCATCCACTGGCTTATCCACAAGTGGAACCATACCTACCTCTTCGCCCGTCTTATAATCCCCTTGCTTATCCACAGACACATCCGTACGGGTATGGATTTATTTATCCCCAGCCAAATCTCAGACCTGAGATAAAGCCCGCCCCAGGGAAGTCCACAGAGACACCCTCCGGCGCAGCTAATTACCCGGACAACCCAGGCTACCCGTATCCCAACTTTTCTCCATATGGCTTACCTTATCCACAACCTGGTCGATTACCTTTTATCCCAGGCTTCCCACCTGGCATCGATTACGGTAAACCCGTCAACTCCGACAAACCCAAGTCAGACGATTCGGTCGATTCTGAAATGAACAAGGAGGAGAAGACAAAGGTCGCTCCACAGGCGCGCAAGCCCACCGCCGAAGCTCCCAACTTTGGCTATCCCCCGGTATATGTGGTAAGACGACCATTTCTAGCCAGCTATCCATATCCGAGAAACATTGGAGGCTTTGGTTCGCCCTATGGCTACGGGCGCTAGTTAGAACTGTTGATGAAGTGTTGTTTCATTGAATTTATTGAATCGTGTTTAATAAATTAAAATACAGCAATTTATTATAGTTACCTTAGCAAAGCACTTATTATACCCTTGCATTTGAATATTCACATGAATCACATTATAGATTCAACATAATATTTGTATACCCTGAACCCATTTTCAATGGGAAATCAGGGTATAATGGTTTTGTTAAAAGTATGTAACAGGCAGAAGGAGGCATGACAGACCCCACAAAGTATATACATATATTCTTGATCAGGGCGACGAGCTGAGTCGATTTAGTCCTCTCCGTCTATTTGTCCGTCCGTATGTATAAGCGCGTCGTTCTGAGGAGATATAAGAGCTAGAGACAATTTTTTTTAATGTCCGTTTATATAGCGTGTATATCAAGTTTATCTCAAAAATCGTCCAGTTATTTTATTATCGATTAAAAACCTTATCGAAAGCTAGTTATTTAATTATATCTCCTACACC